AGGGAGGAAGGAGAAAGATAATGAGATATCTATCCTAGTCCAATCACATGCTCCAGCAGGGTTAGAAGGGAGTGTGTGTGCGTGTTCTCCTTGTAATTTACCAGTACATTTACCGGTACTTCTTCAGAATTGGCACTTTAAAACATTGGGGAAAAGTAATTTTTTAGGGTGAAGATCTGGTCCAGTGGATCCTGTTTAAAGCCTCAACAAAATGTGAGAGCTTCCTGATACTCTTGGCCATGTTTCGTCCACTAAACCTTTAATAGAAGCCAAAGATGTTTCAATGTGGAAAAGGGCCTTACTCTAAACTAGGCCTCATTTCAATCTGATGCATCAGGTCTCCCCGTCTCTCTCTCTCTCTCTCCCTCCCACCCAGACTGGCTTTGCTCTACTTTCCCAATGTGCCTGCGGGGCCGGCGCTTCGAACATGGATGGATGGATGGATAGAGAGAGACAAAGAGGTAGGTAGGTAGGTAGGTAGGTAGGTAGATATATTGGTAGGCAGGCAGGCAGGCAGGCAAGTAAGCACGCAGGAAGACACAGACAGACCTTTTGGATGTATGGATGGATGGATAGACAGACAGAACACAACAGTGACGGCACTTTGGGAAAGTAAAGCAAAGCCGCTGTCACCGTATTCGAGACACCGACTCCGGAGTGGTGCAAGGGGCTCAATGGGGTGAGCCTGTGGAGCCGGCACGTCGAACGCAGTGGCAGCCCATTGCAAAAGTAGAGTAAAGCTGCCTGCCCTGGGCTTCCTCAACCTTGCCCTGCTCCAGGAAGGAGGGAACAGCACCACCCTCTACGACATGAGTGCCCCGAAAGGGGGGGCAGCTTGGGAGGCTGATCCCTGGTGGGAGGGGCACCCTGCTGTCAGGCAGGGCAACTACAAAGAGGGGCAGGCTTAGCTGAGCAGGATCCTGGATATTGGGCTTGTGGTCAAAGCCTCCCTTCCTCTGACTCCCGCGAGGTCAGGGGTCTGCAACCTTAAACAAAGAGCCATTTGGACCTGTTTCCCACAGAAAACAAAACACCGGGAACCCGAAGACATGGGTGGGTGTGGCAACTCAATGTCACTCCCACTGAGTCACATGACCCCCCCCCAGGTTTTGTGGTTTTCTGTGTTTTCTATGGGGAACAGGTTGCGAGCTCTCTCTCTCTGTCTCCCTCTCTCTCCCTTTCCATCCATTCCTCCTTCTCATCTCTCTTTCTTTCTCTCTCCCTCTCCTTCTCTCTCTCTCCTCTAACTCTCTCTCTTTCTCTCTCTCTCTCTATGCCTCTTCCTCCCTCCTTCTCCCCCACTCCCCCCTTCCCAACTCCCACACCCAGGGAATAACTGTAAGGAAATTTGGCCACGTTCTTTTTGTCTCTGGGAAGATACAAAAATAAACCTTGCATTCCAAAAGGAGTGACAGTCAGGCTGTTACCTCACAGTGCTACGAGGTTGCTGCCTTAGATCACTGCTGAATCCTTGCAAAACTGGGCAAAGACAGAGAGAGGGGAGCAGACAGAGCTGAACTGAGCCGAGTCTTCCTCCCTCCCTTTGTATCTCTCTCTCTCTCTCTCTCTCTCTCTGTGTGTGTGTATCTCTCTCTCTCACTCCCTGTCTGTGTCTCTCCTCACTCTCTCGGAAAGCCCTGCGTGCTCTCCTTGGGACTCTTCGCTGTCCCCTTTCCTTTCTCCCTTTTGGAAATCTGGGCTGGCTGAAGAACGAGAGGAGGAGGAGGGGGAAGAGGGAAGCCTCCACTGCGGCTTCCGCTCGTTCCTCAGGTAGCCCGGATTTCCAAAAGGAAGGAAAAAAAAGGGATAGCAAAGAGCCCTGAGTAGAGCATGCAGGACTTTCCGAGAGAGTGAGAAGCTTCTTTTCTTTCTCCTTGGCGAGTTTTTGGAAATCCAGGTTGCCTGAGGAATGAGCGCAAGCTGTGGCGGAGGCTTCCTTCCTCCCTCTCTCGTGTACACCCTCCAGGCCCCACCACAGCCGGCTCCATGGCTGTTTGCTGCTCTTGCATCACCTGTGCAGCGCACTCAAATTTAGTGCACTTTACTCCATCCTCTCCTCCTCCTCCTGGAGCCCGTTACAATGCGGTGCATCGGAGCTGCCGCATTCAAGATGCCAACTCCAGAGCGGTGCAGCAGTCAATAGGGTGACCCTGCAGGGCCTCAAACGCCCCCCCTTGCCTCTTAGTGCACCCCTGCCAGCCCCCTTGCCTCTTAGCACCCCCCTAAGGTATCCCACCGCCCCCCACAGGGGGCGGTACCACCCACTTTGGGAACCACTGCTATAGAGAACAATGGGTTCACTTAACCACCATTGGAAGAAAAGATCCTAAAATTTCAGACTCCTTTAGGGACTATAAATACCGCAGATAGTCAAGGACTGTCTTTGACTTTCCATATCAAAGGTTCTTCCCATCCATCCATCCAAAACACGTACAGAATTTTAGCCCCTTGCCCTGTGTAGGGCCTTCAATGGATAGTTTTCATAATTCATAGCTATATATATTACCCTCTCCATTTGGCCGTCTGAGAAGATACCCAGAATTGTGCTACTGAAACCTGGAAGCTGCCGATGTGCCAGAAAGCATCCACATAGCAAGGCCTCTGATGGGAGGGGTGTAGAACACCAGTTTATCATTGGATCACCCTTGAGGTCATCTAACTGATAAGACCAAAGCAGTGATTTGAAGTTGTAACCTTGAGGAAACATCTCTTAGCCTCTTTGGAGACACATGTGTTAAGCCCAAAGCACCCTTTAGAGCGGGAATCTCCAAACTTGGCAACTTTAAGACTTGTGGGCCTCAACTCTCCATTCTGGCTGGGAAATTCTAGAATTTGAAATCCATAAATATTAAAAGTTGCCAAGTCTAGTGACCGCCCCCCCTACAATAAAGCATGGACCGTCAATTGAAGGTTCAGGCATTTGATCCGCTTCTCCTGCTCATCGCAGGAGAAGAGAGAAGATCTCATGTTACCAGCTAAAGCTGGCCAATGTCGTGTTAACTGTTGAGCTTGTCACTAGGCTAAGGAAAAGGTTTCTCACATACCTGAGGAGAACAAATGGAGATGAATGACTTGTTGAAGGGTCAGCCTCCCAACATAATATTCTCATGATACAAGAATGAGAAACTTAATTACTGCAGGGTGGAGGTGGTGCAATCAGCCATCATGGTTTCCATACATGATTTTGGATTTAAAAACCAGCTTCTTGGCTTGAAATCATGCAATCAGCTGAAACTTTGACCTCCCCCCCCCAATCCTAATGCATGTTTAATTAGACTGCAGTTTTTATTATTTTGAATTCCCAGTACCTGTCAGGCACACTTTGCCTGACTCTGGATTTGTTTTGTTCTGGAAACCACAAGAGAAACCTGATAAATTTTGCAACCTCTGAACAACCCCACAGGCTAGCGAAATGTCTGTGGTGTCCAGTTCCCTGTTTCTATAGACAGGAAGGTTATCTTAGGACAACTACTTAGAAAAAGAACAACTAAGTTGCCACAAGCAGCACGCACCTGTCTTAAGTCAGAGGAGGCTGGAAATATACATCGCGAGACACAGTTTCCTCAGATTCATCCCGCCAACATGCTGTGTATTGTCATAATCAGTTACATCAGAATCCCAATATTCAGTTATTTTAGATACAGCTGGTCCTTGACTTAAGGATCACAAGTGAGCCTACATTTTTTGGTGCTAAGCAAGGCAATTGTTAAGTGAGTTTTGCCCTGTTTTACAGTCCTTTTTTGCCACAGTTGTTAAGGTTTAACAGTTCAATGACTGCAGTTGTCAAGTGAACCACACAGTCATTAAACAAATCTCGCTTCGACTTTGCTTGTTGGAAACCAGCTGGGAGGGTTACAAGTGGTGATCACACGACCCAAGAACTGTGCAACTGGCATAAATCCATGCCGGTTGCCAAGTGCCTGAATTTTGATCACATGATGCTACGACGATTGTAGGTGTGAAAACTTGTCATAATTCACTTTTATCCAGGGCTGTTGTAACTTTGAACAGCCACCAAACAAGTGGTTGTTAGTTCAGGGTTACCTGTAACCTACATGGATCTTCCAGGTCCTGTTTTATGACCATTTTTAGACATGTAATTTGGTTCACAAATCTTTCCCATAGAGCCAAGGTTGGGCATCTAAGTTTGTTTCCCTTTTTCCCGCTTTTTTCTTTCCGTGTGTGTATACCTCATGATGTTCCTGACTATCTTGTCTGCTCTAAATATAAATATTAGATTTATATTTACATAAATAAATATTTATTTTTATAAAACTACAAGTTTGTGTCAGTGCCTCTGACTCCTTGTGGACAGCTGCCATGCAGTTCCCTGACTTTCTTTGCCTTGGGAATGGAACTAGTTTTGGGCCAGTCACTTTCTCTCAGCCGTAGGAAGAAAGCAATGGCAAAAACAATTCCAAAATGTTGTCAAGAAAACTCAGGGACTTGTCTAGGCCAGGGGTGTCAAACTCGATTTCATTGAGGGCTGCATTAGGATTGTGTTTTATCTTCCGGGGGGGGCCGTTATGGTCAGGGGGCATGGCCAGCACAATGTCACTCGTTGAGGCTCCGTTTTCAGTCACAATGGCCTCCTGCAGCCGTCTGCCAGCACAAACAGAGCTGGGGGCCCACCCAATCTCCGTTTTCAGCCACAATGGTCTCCTGTAGCCCGCTACCAGCAAAAATGGAGGCCAGAGAGGTCACACATGTTTTCTCTGACAGAGGAACCACAGGCTGGTCTTTCACTGTTTCCAGGACGGCCCCCATGGGGCAGATCTAAGCACCCCAAAGGCCTTGAATTTGACACCCCTGATCTAGGCAGTTGACAGGAATCAAGATTGACAGGAATCCAGATGATGATGGTCTTTGGCTTGGTTCCTGGTAACTTTGTAGAAAGATTCCTAATTTTTTTTAGCACTGATACAGAAACGGTTTTCCCTTGCCTCTTTTAAAGATATTTTTCCAGCGTTCCAGTCCAGCCTATAGTTGGGCCTCCCCACAACGTATGATAGAAAACTTTTTTTTCTTGGAAAGTGGTAGGGGAAGAAATGTGTAGCATGTATTTGCCCAGTATGGTTAGTAGACCAACTGCCTGAGTTGACCACCCCTAGTAGTGATTATCCATGTTTTGAGAACAGTCTGTCATGACAGCGGTGGAAGTCTAATTGGAGAAAAAAAACATCTGGAAATTGACGTTGAGGTGAAAAATAAGAGCTAGACTACTTTCCAAGTACAGGTTCCTGTTTTAAACAATCTGTGCTGATTGGTTGTTGGTTACTGGCAATATGTAAAGGTGGTGGCATTATTCTTTAAAGTCTCAAAGGGGCTGCTTGTCCTGTTACACAGCTGACCAGTAGTTTTGGTCAATCATTCTCAAGATGTCCCACTGTTACAGATCTACTTTCTGGCACATTGGATGGGGCTTCTCTCCCATTGCTCCTAGACAATGGCATATATTTATTCCATTCTCCCCCCTGTTTGTGTTTAGGAAATCTGCAAAGATGCCTCATTCTCAACAAGTGTCGTTTACACCTTTGTTAGTGTGGAATTTTTTAACCATTCATATTCAGTTTGCATATTATAGGATGCTTTGCATATTTGTCAGAGCAGAAAGGCAGGTATAAATCAAATGCACTTAACCAATAACTGTGTACCAACAACCAAGTTTGACCCTGTATGACTGCCAGGCAGGAAAAGATGGCCAGATACTGCCACCTACTGTGACCTGCTAGATCATGCTGGCTCTTAAATGCACATCGCAGTCCATTAAAAGGCTCCTTTGACCTGGCAAATCTTCTCCAGCTGGGAGAACTTTGTGGGTGAAAGCTCTCATCAGCTCCCTCATCCAACCCCTCTCTTTCTCTGTACTCTACATCCTTTGTTCAGTTACCTTGAAATGGCCTCTGCTACCTTTATCTGTGCAGGTTAATAAATGCTCAGGTTTTTTTTTTTTTTGATGCTCTTCAACCCATGTACAGCAAATACTATGGATCCCTGAATGCATAAAAATATTTCTAAATTACATTGGCTACCAAGCTGTTACAACTATGTCTCCCTAGTTGCCTTTTTGATATGATCCTTTTGTGTGTGGGGGGGGGACCCTTAGTAAACAAGATAATATATTGTAAAATGGGATGGGGTCTTTTTTTGGTCATTTCATATGTTTATTTGACAGAAAAACCTCCTTGCTGTAAATGGGATGGGGTCTTCTTTTCCCTAGTAGCTTCTTGTTTCCAGATAGGACAATAACACCCATCAGACATGAAGTATGATTGAAGATTTAAATATTATAAAAATCGGAAGGAAGGAAGGAAGGAAGGAAGGAAGGAAAGATTGAAAATGTTGAAATACTGAAAGTCCCTTTTCGTCCTAGCAAGCATCTTTTCTTTCTTGTCCCATATCTCTTTTCCCATGACCCTGGGGGAAGGAAAGAAGGAAGGAAATGTTGTTTTTTATTAGGATTAAAATTCTAGGAAAAGGATATTGATTAGTCACAAGGAAAGGTTTCCTATAAGTGCAAGAGAACAAATGGCAGACGCATATGGGATCTCTTAGTGAAACTGCCTTTCTCCCACTAAGATTGTTTCTCTAACAACATGTGTTGATTCTTAAATTTGTTTTCAGGTTGGTACATTCAGGGCCCGGGAAGGGCTCTCCACAATCTGGGGTAGATTTGTCCTTTGCCACTCGAACAGGAACACAACAAGGTATCGAGAGCCATCTTTTCAAAAGCGAGACTAGCAGAGACCTTTCCTTGTGGACCCGGAGCCTAGTTCAAGGTTGCCACAACGCAGCTGAACTGTCTGTGGAAGTCACCACAGGTAAATCAAGAGCACAGAGGCTTCTTGGCCATCAAATTCTCCCAGAGCCATGGACCTCCCTGGGTTTCTGCCAGTAGCTAAACAGAGACCATGTCAATAAACTAGATGGTGTTGAAAGGGTTTATTTTGCAATTTGGGCAATTGGCTTAAGAGGAAAATCAACTCCATCCAACATCTGTGGCTCATACTAGGTGACAGATCTTTTTTTAAGAACGCTGGTTTGGACTGTTGTTTTATTTAACTCCTTTGATCAATGGCCTGATCTCAGACTTGCGCTTTAAAAGATATAAAGAAGAAGAGGGAGAGAGGAAGGAGGAAAGACTAAAGTCAACAACAGTTTTTTTCTGGATATTAAGTGCACCAATTGTGCCTACTGTCCCTGTCCTATTGTTTCTTTTTATTTTTCTTATAAGTATCCACCTCATGTATTCAAAACTATGTTTATTCTTATACCTGTATCTTGTAAGCGATTGACAAATCAAATAAATCAAATAAATAAAATAAATTCAGGCAATCTGATGAGAGATGGATGTTGAGGAGAAATTGAGAGCAGAGCAATTGGCCTAGTCCAGTGGTGGCTAACCTTTTTGAGCTGAAAATTGCACTCGCACACTTGTGTACCAGCATCCAGAAGGCAATGCGTGCCCTGCGTGTGCGCAGAGACCCCCTGCACCCTGTGTGTCTCTGCGCGTATGTGTGCATCTCCCGCGCCCCCCCCCACGCATGCATGCCAAATACCTGACAATCAGCTGTCAGGCGGTACGTGCGCAGTGGGGCTCTTCTGGGTGACCTCTCACGCATGCCATAGGTTCGCCACCACGGGCTTAGTCCCTTTCTCTACCTCTGCAGTGGCCTGGTCAGAGAACCAAGGTAGTCTTAGAGGTTCAAGGCCACAAGAAGAGTCAAGAGGGAGTTCTGTAGGGTAGATTGAACTTCCATCTGTGACATGAAGTGCTAAACCTGACACTTCATCATAGAGCTTGCAAGTTGGCTTGAGGCAGTCAGTATCTCAGCCGCCTCACAAGTTGGTCCTTTTGAGATGACATAGGATAAATGAGGACAAGAACACTGACTCCACATTTTAAGGAAAAGCGGGCTATAAATGTAACATTTAAGTCCTTGGCTATCACAAGAGGTATCTTAACATCTAGAAATTTTGAAGAGCAAGACCAATGGCTAAACTTCTCTTATTCACTGAAAGTTTACACTTTACTCCATGTCCTTGACTGTAGTATTTTCCCAAAGGCTGATAAACCTGATTCAGGGATGTTATAAGATACCCAACTCCCTTTTTAATTAAACACAGACAGCAATTGGTATTACACTATGGATCTTACCACTTTTTAATGGTGCACGGTCAGCTGTGCTGAAACCTTTATGCTATATTAACCTCATTGTTACAATCATTGGAACTTCTTTCCAATTAGCAGGGAACTCATTAGCATTCCTATTAATCCCCAAGCTACTACCAGCTCCAAAGTGGCCTCATAATCTTTTATTAGCAATATCATTCTTCTAAAGTGCCATAAATCCTGTTTGTTCTTGTTTCCTTCTTCAGCTTGCACGTACAAAAACCAGGAGTGCCGTTTGACCATCCATTATGACCATGGATTTTCCCTCACCACCGAACCCCAAGTTGGTGCCTTTCCCAAAACCATCTTCCGGTATCCCTACGAGAAGCTAAAATCATCTTCAGATGATGGGATTCGGATGCTGTATTTGGACTTTGGAGGGAAGGAAGGTGAAATTGTAAGTGTGTTAGGATATTTAGTTTTTCCACATAGCTGGGGATGAAGATAGTTATCATTTGTAGCATCTGAGATTATTAGAAAACTAGTCATGAATGAATTGTCCCTTACATGGTTTAAAATTATTACCCACGGATATTCTCTGCAGTATAAAACAAAAAAAAAAAGAATTTTCTCCATTGCATAGAAAACTTTTGTCAAGTAATAGATCCATTGCAAGCAAAACTCTGAGGCAGGTAGATTCCTCAAAGAACAGCTTTTATTGGAAATATCATATTGGCACATATCTGGTGAAAACCGACTCTGAAGGTTCCTGCGGTTTTCACCTAATTAAAAAGTAAACGTTTTTTCCTTTAACCCCGAACAATCAGTCACATAGCCGAATCAAGGCAGCGTCCACTGGTCTGGTGACATCACTCCTCCTTCCTCCAGCCAGGTTTGAGAACGTCCTTGGTTCCCAAGAGAAAGTATTTTATTTTGACTATACAACCCCAACTATCTCTAATCCCCCTTCCCTTTCCCTCAACTCCAGTGTGGCAGCACTGAAGCTCCAAGATGGCTTCAGCCAAATCAGCTTCAGGGTTGACACACACACACACACACACACACACACACACACACAAATCTACTCATCTGGAGGCACTCCATGGAAAAGCTTGGAAAAGGCTGATGAGCATCATCTACTACTTGGGTCATATTTTGCAGTCCTGCCTCCTTCCGAGGGGACATTTTCTTTCGGTGAAGGGCGTTTCACATATGGAAACCCTACATGCAGAGAGGAATACATTTTCCTGTTCCTTCAATTCACAGCTAAAGTTGAATGTCAAATTCTCTTTCTTTTCATGGTCTGTCTATTCAGTGGGATTTTGGATAGACAGCCCGTTCCTCACTGTTCCCATCAGCAAGCAGAGCAATTATCTGGGTAGGGGAATCAAATGCTAGACTTGGTTCTCCCTCACATCTCATCTCCAATTTACAAATATAGTTCCATAAATACAATCGTGGTAGAATTTCAATGGTAACCATATGTCAGCCCTACAAGATAGACCAAGACTTAGGTCCTGTACCAAGGTCAGGACTATTTTTCCTGAAACAGATATAATAATTGAATTTTGCAAGTTTGAATGTGCTCTTTCCTTTATCTAGAGAAGGGCATGTTTGAGACATTTTTTCCCAAGTTAGTTTCTTGGGCCAGGGCTCAAGGCCCACTTAGCTGGTTATTGCCTTGATAGTGACTCTTCTTTCTGTCTTTTAAATCATTCCTGATGTAATATGCCTGAATGATTCCATTAAACAATCTATTGTGGCCTCAAAATGCTGGGGCAGTGGTACCTCGGGACTTGGCTTTAATTTGTTCTGGGAAGTGCGATAGCTACTAAAACGGACGAGTCCCAAACAAACCATGTGACTTATCATGTGAGCCTTTGTTTTCGCTGGGAAGAACTTTCTGTCTGTCTCTTTTCCTATCTCATCAACTTTCCGAGCATAGCCAATTTCCTGACCGCCATCTGTTGGTTATTCCCTCCTTTTGCAGCAACCTTCCCAGCATGGCCAACTTCCTGTCTGTTCCCCACAGCTCTTCCTATAACAGGATGTCAAGTATTAAACAAAGGCCAAGTACTGGGATGACATTTTCACGTCAAAATGTGCCGAGAACCAAATTCGACGAGTTTTGAAGCAGTTGAGTACCGAGGTATCACTGCATTTGCCAAAACTTCAGTCACAATGCTGAGAAATAATGCTGCATTTCAGTTAAAATATTTGGTGGCTTGGGCAACTAATTCTGGAATCCAGTCCAGAATTCCTCTTCTTGTGCCATATCCGTCATCTGACATTGGCAATCATATTGGCAATCCTATTTTTATCAACAGCCACACGAAAAAATGCTGTTGAGTTTTGTCCAAACCAGACCCTTAGATTTTGAAGCCCTGATGTTCTTCTGCCTGGACCTCTCGTTCGCCTTCAGTCTTTCCTTGGAGGATTCAGTGAAGAATGCCATATTTTTCTGGGTGTCGCATCACATGTCCAAAATATTCTAACTTTTGCTTTTTTTTATGGTTTTGATGATGGTCCAGAATTAACCACACACAATAACTCCTTGTCTCTTTGTGCTCTGATTTCAGCAACTGGACCTTCATTCCTGTCCAAAGCCGATCGTATTCATCATTCATTCATTCCTTTTTGCCAAGATCACAAGACTTGGATTGGTAGCATAAATTCTGTCCGTCATTGGCAAGAACAAAAAGAAAAAGAAGAAAAAGTGGAACTACTCGAGTCCTTCAACTCTCCAACACGTTGTCAACACTGGGAGCTACTAGGAGAACACCTGAACTCTTCTGCAGATGAAGTTCAGATAGGGGGCAAAATCAATGTTTTGATCAAAGGCAATGATAGGGCTCTGAAGAATAAAAGTCGGAATATTGGCTTCAACTAAAACATATGTTGCAAGTGAAATGACATTGATTGCTCTGAATAAAGCCAAAATTGAATAATTAAGAAGAGATGAATGGCTGTATGACGACATTTCGTATTCCTAGGTGTGCCTCTATGGTACGTTTTAAGAACAGCACACTCCATCTTGGGTTTTGAGAATGTCAGGGCTTCCCTAGAAGATTCAGCAATTTTTCAATGAAAAGATTGATGATGGTAGAGTAGCTTCTGTGAACGCAAAGTTTTCCCTTTCTCCCCTTCATCATCTTCCCCCCCACCTTTAAAATATACTCTCTATTTACTTCTAGTAGATGGGGCTGTTTTCATAAACTGGTAACATATTCTAAAAACTTTGCAAACTGCAAAGAAACAGTTGTGGATAGGAATCCTAGAGAGGAGGACATTTGAAAGCCACTGAAAAGTAAAAGCTAAGTTGATAGTTACCGTCAAAATAAGGATTTTTAAAATGAACCCTGTGTGCTTTAGATTTATTTTTTTTCTCGCCATATTTCAGTTTTCAAAAAGCACAAAGGAAATATCTGTGTGCAAGTTAGTGATTTGGTTATTGAGCGATGAGATGGATGTGCTCTCTTTTTTTCCCATTAAGAAGCACATCAGTTTGTGTAAGTCACATTGGCAGAGCTCAAGTTGCTGTAGGTCAGGGGTTCCTGGCCTTGGCAACTTTTAGACACAAGGGTTTCAACTCCCAGAATTCCCTGGGGCTGGGAAATTCTGGGAGTTGGAAGTCCACATGTCTTAAAGATGTCAAGTTTGGGAAACCCTGCTGTAGGCAAACTGAGTTTTCTGACTGATCGAACCAGCCATAAAAAGGAACTCTTGGAACAAGAACTCAAAAAAATCTCCAGATAAAATAGACCTTAGACACAGGACACACTGGAGAATTTGCTGAAAAAAGCAAAGCCCATTCAACTGATAAAATCCAAATAACGTAAGTTTTCTAAGATTGCAATTGTTCCATTAACAATGACAACATGTGAAGGGGAGGGAAGTGAAATCTGGCAGACATAATGCATTTTAAAACATTAACAGTGGAAGTACAGTAAAAGCGACGGGAACGATAAACATCTTAAAAGCATCTTGAAAAGAGGAAATGCATTTCAAATTAATCCAAGGTAGCCAAACTGTCATTTGTATGTGATGCAGTCGGTGGAATTTTGGCTTGTGCATTTTGTGGCTCTTGCGCTGTCCACAAATCCCTTTGCAACATTTGGCTGTAGGCCCTTCTAAAGCAAATGAGAAGCTTTTGGGTTAAGGAAGAAGGCGGAAGCAACCAGCTCCCGGGAGACAAAGGAGGATGCTAAAGAAGTATGGATAGAAAGGATACAGAAGCACTGCCCATGAAGCCTCAGTAATTTAGGACAGAAGTCACAGCAGTCGGCCGTGTTGAAGAAACAAGGCAGAGAAACATCAAACCTCAGCTAGAAGATCCATAGAAAACACCTAGTGCGGAGGAGAAGCAGAAAATGGCTATGAAAAATAGGTTTAAGATACAGATTAACAAGAGTTGGGAGGGTCTTGAAGACTTCCAGGGAGGAAGCTCCCACAACTTCTGAAGGCAAGCTTTTCCATTGGTTGAAGTTGGTGAGGGTGCTGTCCTTTATTAGGCACTCTGATTGCAAAAAGTCAGAGCAATTATTATGGGGTATCTTTTCCACCAATGTTCTGGAGACCTCACCTAAGCAGGGAAGAGAACTTTCTGCACCTTCCAGGGTCTTCTCATTTTTCTCGTGGCTTTACATCAGGGAGGAGAGAAATAAGCTGTGTGATCCAGGCTCTTCCCTACCCCCCATACTCGGCATATTCTACCAAGGAAAGGAGATACAGTATGGTCATTTTTCATGATTTTGATCAACGGTCCTTAACGATGTCCATGAGAGATTCTCAGTCATCCAGGCCAATGGTTGTCCGAGCTTCAAGCAGCTTCTTGGGTGAGAAGCAAAATGTCTTCAAAGAAAAAAAAACCAGAAAGTTTTTGAAAAAGCACCTTTGGGTTCCCTTAAACAACGTTTAACTAGAAGAATCCCAAAGCTGCTCAAGTCTTTTAACAAGTTGAGATCTTAAATTTTGTGTCGGGGCATTTCTCGGGCATCTGAATGTTGTGGTCTGTAGCTTGGGAGCTCTGAAACTTGCCGTAGGGCTGAAATCTTAGCAGCAGCGCTTCATCCTGGTGACTGGCATTCACTGGATTAAAACCCAAGACACATCAAGGGATCTTTTCTTTCCAGAAAAGAAAAGATGGAGAACAAGGGCAATCCCATCACAGCAGCAGCAGACCGAACGGCTATTGAAGTGTTATTTTAACACTTTTCATATCGGTCTGCCAACCTAGCCGTTCGAAAGCATGTAAAAATGCAAAGAGGAAAAATAGGGACCACTTTAGTTGGGAAGGTTACAGCACTCAGTTGTGCCTTCAGTGTTTAGTCATGCCGGCCACATGACCACGGAGATGTCTTTGGATAGCGCTGGCTCTTCAGCTTTGTAATGGAGATGAACACCGCTCCCTAGAGCCGGAAACGACTTGCACGTATATACAAGGGGAACCTTTACCTTTTACAAAATAAAGTCTCCTTAAAGTTGCACTCAGCTTCATAGATACATCCATGGACTCTTCTTGGCTTACGACCAGAGGTACACCTGGCCCTATTCTGGAGTTCTAATGGCCTCCCAGGCAGTCATGTGACTTTCACTTCAGGCACTCAGCAATCAAGCCATAATTATGTCTATTTGCAGCATCCCATGGTCGCATGGCCATTGTTTTACAATGCTTTTGGTGAAAACTGGTGCACAGCAAAACATTGATTCACTTCACGACAGCTGCAGTTGCTAAACAACAGCCACAAAACTTATAAAATCAAGCTGGTCATGTGGGTGACTCATGTTACCATCATCATGACTTATAGTACACTTAGGATGGGCAGGCTCCATTACAGTCATAAGTCAAGGAGTACCTGAACTGTTGTCTTCTCAAATGCTTTCACCAGTCTGATCTCCAGCTATAGACCTTTTTTCCATCCAGGTACAAGCCACATCCAATCCTGCTTTGCTTCTTAATAACGGGCTAAATGACTGTCAGATACATCAATATTAAACCCTTAACGTCTATATCAAAAGGCCAACTTAAAAAAAAAAAAAACTTGTTTGCTGTATGGATGCCCAGAGACAAATAAACTCAGTTGTGGGGGTTTTTTGTTGTTTATTTATGGGCCATAGTAAATAAGTGTGTTTTTTAGGGTTGCTTAGATATAGGTGGTCAGATGGGGAAATGCCCCTGAATTCTCAACCGTGCTATTTCCATGCTACCGATTACAAATAAATAAATCATTATGAGGATAGCAAAAACTGTAAGCTAAGTGTAAATGCATAAGTTATGCTTGCTTTCAGCTACATTTGAAGAAAATTCTCTGCAGCATTAAATCGCCCCTGAAGTAATTAATCTAGGTTTCAAGGTAATTTGATTGGGATAATAAATAGGATTCATAAAGGCCTGTTAATTCTTAAATGCGATTAAGGTAGTCTTAGGGAATTTGAAAGGAGGTTGGGAATAAAAAAACCCCAAGATTGAGCTGTTAACCATGACTAAGATTTTACACATACAGAAGTCTTTGGGTAGTTCTATAAAATAACCAATTGCCATGGAATATCTATCATAGCTAGTATTTTGTTAGCAATATAAAATTAACTTAATAAAAAGCTGCTTGATTTTGAGCCTACATTATCACCATGTGCCCAGTTTGTGCCTAAGCTTCCATTTTTATTTCATTTGAAGTTTTAAATAAATAAATATATCCAGAGATCTCTCTACTTTAAAATAAATATATTTTTGCAGATATGGAATTTCCATTGGTTTCCATTGGTCCATGAAAGGATGACTTACAAAATTTTTGATTTAAATGGCATTTTGTGAGAGAAAAAAAGGAATCTCAAATAACCCTTTCCAATGTAGCAGTATTTTCAAGTTCCTTCGATGGCAGTATTTATTATTGTGAATGAGCAAAAGACAGAGCATTAAGTAGATTATGTATTTTAGGGTTCATGCATATGTAAATTCTATTGTACTGCTACTTTCAATAACTAACACCCCTTCACTGGAATATTATAACTATATCTGCTTTGTATATAATCAGGATTAATGCATTAGTTATATCACGTATTGTACGGTGCTCAAATCACAACATGAAGAAGTGAATAACTAATTTGCAAAAAGAAATATATATATTTATAGTCAAATACAGATTTTGAATGACTCTAGACGCCACTACTTTAGATGGGGTTGAAAGAATGAATAAAATGGAACTACCCCAGATTTATAAGAATTTAATCTACAATATTTATATTTTCAAGGAGAAAAAACCGACTATATTTAATAAAGTGTCATTTATTGGATTTTTTTGTGAAGTGATAATTTATTTAACAAGAAGAAAGTCACTGATTTTTTGTTCAATGGTTTCAGCCTACTAAAATTTGTATAAAACAGTGAAGTACTGATTTCACAGGATGGGATTAATTCTTCCAGGTAAGTTCTCTTACTGAACTACTACTGTTCAATACTGTGGTTCATTGAAAGGAGTATCAACCTCCTGGCATTTCACACAAATATATAAATCTATATTGAATCTATAAATTCAAGGATGGCAAAACATCCTGATCTAGTTGAACAGAGTACTACTAGTCAGAATTATACTTGAAGGATGGAACGAGAGAACAATACAGAGAAAAAACGGAATTTAAATGCTTCGTGTTTTGAGTTATTCTTTTTTTCTAAGATCTTGATAAAGTTGCTTACCTTTTAATCCAGATAGTTTACTGTCTTGTAAAGTGAGTGAGCTGTGACTTGCAACTACTCTCAAAGTAGTTTCTCCTGACAGTTGTGGTATTTTCCTAGAATTTCATGTGTTCCCCCACCTTTAAAAACGGTTGACATACCTGGTTTTAAAAAGGACTTGCTAAGCAATTCCTAATTTAAGCAGACATTCTGCACATTTGAATATAATAGAGAATTTACATTTACAGAACTAAGCAACTTTCAAACCATGCAGATGGGAAAGATGGCTTAAGAAATTCTTTTTATTCCAGTAAAAAAAATTTTTACAACACGAATAACTTCCAAGATCAATTTAATTATCTCAAAAGATTTGAGAGCATCACGTGGCAGGAACTGCCAAACTTCAGGCATATCTACCAACAAGACACTTTGAGTTATGTTCTCAGTGTGCTGCACTTGTCACTTGTTTTTTTCTAAAACCCAATCAATGACCTGTAAATAAGCAACAGAAAATGTAATTAAAAATAGAAAAATAAACACTAAGACATATTGCATCCTTGAGTTCGAGAACATAAATATTGAAACATTGGACGCCATTCTAAAGGAAAATACCATGTAACCCAGGGGTATCAAACTTGTGGCATCACGTGACATCATTTTTCCCTCTTCGCTAAACTGGGTGTAGCCGTGGCCAGTGCGTGACGCATCTGGCCTGCAGGCCATGGGTTTGACAGCCCGGTGGTAACCCCCAAAATAAGCAAAGCTGCTTCTAGGCAATGAACGAGGACCGTGTAGCAACACTCAAGGGACATCCCACAAATCATCATTAGAGGGATGAATCATCCCTCTTTCAGATTCAACCAGTGTAGGGCAGTCGACATCCACTAACCAAATTCATAAAGCCAAACTTTGATAAATGAGGGAAACCAATTCTCAGGAGCAGTTACTAGGGATGTGGTCCAGACAACCATTACTTTACCTGTTGAACATTGCTGATAGCAGCTTTTTTCATTTCATCCAGCAGACCTCGAGATGTTTTCAAATCCTAAATATGAAATACATTACTTTCAAAAGACGCTGGTTTATTATTGAAAACCTTTTAAGATGGCAAGGAAGAATAATGTTCTTATTTAGCAACACTACTTTTGCCACATGCTCAGTACAAATAGCTATATAGGTGTCTTAATTTAGAAATTCTGCAGGCGAACAAGAAAACCCATTTATCATCGTAGTTGAGTCTTGTCAACTAAGTTTTCTTACCAATTTTGGTTTGCGTCCTAATCTATTTAGTGCCCTTTATCAGGGGTCCCCATCCCCAGGTCCATGTCTGGTGCCGGGCCACGGCCTGTTCGAAACTGGGCTGTGGAAGTGGTGTGCGGGTATGTGTGTGTGAAGCTGCATTTGTGAAAATGGCATGTGTGAAATCATCCCCCACTCCCCCCTCTGCCGATCTGCAAAGATTGGAGACTACTGCCCTATATTATTATGAAATTCAATTCCCAAATGTTTACATCCAACCATAAAGTCATATCAGAAGGGACGCTGAGACTACCTGACTCTGTGGTTTCTTCCCCAAACCCCAAAAACTTTAACCTTAGACTGTCTACTATTGACCTCACCCCTTTCCTAAGAGGTCTGTAGGGGGCGTGCATAAGCGCACCAACATGCCTACCATCCCTGTCCTATTGTTTCTTTTATTTTTCTTATATATATCCATTTCATTTATTCACAACTATGTTTATACTTATACCTGTTATCTTATAATCGCTCGACAAAATAAATAAATAAATATAAATAAACATTCTTGTGTAAAATCAGAGGGGTCCCCTAACTTAAATATGCAACGAGAGGATAGGAGCCACATCATCAGATTGTGGAATGGTTGGACCCACCGGCAGAAGCCTAGCACAAGTAGTCCTCAACATACAACCGTAATGGGATTTGCCCATTACGTTGTAAATCACGACAGTTGATTTTACTTTCGTTTTCTGTGGCAGTTGTGAAGGGAATGTGGCAATCATTAAACTAACCCCAGCGTGCTATGTATGACATGGTTCTGCCGAAAACTGGAAGGAAATGCCATTTTTTTTCCAGCAAAGCTTGTAAAATGGGATCATGTGACTACGGGGTGCTGCAAATGGCCATAAATGCAGCTCTGTTGCCAAGCACCAGTTTTGATCAGGTGACTATGGAGGGCCTCTGGCTGTTGGAACTTCCAACTGAGATTAATAGTAGATTGAAAGTAGGCCTGCCATAACTGAACCGTCGCTAAGTGACCAGTTATAAGTCAAGGACTGCCTATAATCTCACAAATGCTCCAACAGAAGCCCTTCCATTCTTCCCGATATGGGGAAGCGGCTTGGTAGTTCCTGCTACCAACTCTACAGGAGGAAGCCTCACGTCTATTGTCTTCCTCCTAAGCCCTACGAGGGAGGAATCAAGGCCTCCTTCATAACTGCGGCTTGAAGATTCGGGTCTTCTTTTTCCTGCCCTTCCCATCAATCCATTTTATAAGAGATAGGCAAACTTGATCTTAAATGGGAGGAATATTTTTAAAAAGCGTTTCCATTAGCGGTGGAGGTAAATGGATGGGAGTTGTTCAGATTATGGGAAAGCAGCAGCTTGGTTGAAAAAGAAAATTCCGCGTTCCCAGGTGACCACAAGATGGCAATGGTCTGCTCTGAATGATAGAATTCTCCCCGCAAAGGCTGAAAGAATTAAAAATGTTTTCCGGCAAGGTAGCCTGAAGTAGAGATTCAAGCTGGTGTTGCATAAGTCACACAGAATAAAACTTAAATTAGTAGCGCAAACAAAAAAAGATCACAACCCTAAGGAAAACTTCTCACTAGGTTTACTTATTCAACCAAGACAAATTTTTGCAGATGCTACCGTTGTTTCAGTTTTCACTTTTCCCCTGGAAATTTCAAAGTTTAGGCTGAGGTGAAGAGATGTCTAGGATAGCAGGATATATATTATGGGGCTCGTGGGTGCTCTCTGAGCTTGGTTTTGCACTGATAATGTAATCTTGTTGGGTGACGAAATGTCAACAAGAAAACCATCAACCTCACAGAGGGCCAAGGACTCCCCAAAGCTACAAATATTCTCATCTATTGCATACTAGCTCGATACCCGTGCTTCGCTACAAAACTATGTGGTTGGGCTTAGTTTTTGGGGAGGAAAATAAGGGGAAAAAAATTCTGCCTCTGCCTACCGGCATCCATCAGTATTCATCTAGTGTCCCTGTCAGTGGGTGAGAGAGTTGAGGGCTGTTTGGAAACTGAAGCAGTATTTGCTGTGTGAGCAAGAAGGTGACAGCAAGGAGCCTGGGCGTGGCTTAGCTCAACTGTTCTGTATTAAAGCTGCTTAGTGCTGTGAAAGTAAAACTGAAACTGAAACTCCTCTCCTCAGCTTGTGTTTTGCATTTGGAATAGATTTCTTTTCGGGTGGGGAGGGGAAGTAGAACTCCTTAGCATCAGAGCATGTTAATAATATACGAAATAGTAATGTTCTGATGGTCATTTTGAAAAATCCTTTCTTAGTGAGCACCTAGAAGCCAAGAGAAACATATTGTATGTGCCAAATTTCAAGTTTGTAGGCTTTACGGTTCTGGAGATTTTGTGAGGGTGCGTGAGTGGTATTCTGCTTTTATATGTATATGTAAATAAAATGGGAGTTACTGAGTTCTATCACCTAGCATGTCAGTCCCTTTAAAATTTTCTGAGTTTTTGCATATTTTTGCAACTGAATGTTATCGTCAAAACTTCATTGGGCTCCTACAGTATTTGTATATTAAAGAGCTCTGAACCAGTGGTGGGATTCAATTTTTTTTACTACCAGTTCTGTGGGTGTGGCTTGGTGGGCATGGCAGGGGAAGGATACTTTAAAATCTCCAGTCAAAGGTGGTATTTGCCGGTTCTGTGGACTACTCAAAATTTCTGCTACCAGTTCTCCAGAACTGGTCAGAACCTGCTGAATACCACCTCTGCTCTGAATGAATTAATAACACCAATGTATTATTTAATTATAATGAATGGCCAACCCTGCTCCACGTGCTGTATTTCTTCCTAGAAAGCAGATAAAATAAGGCAACCAGAAAGACAGAAAAACTGAGAAAGTAAAAATAATCCTTTCACGGAACTCTGCGAATCTATTTATGGCACATGCCATGAAACACATTCAGTATCAGGGATAGTGCTATAAAGGTTCAGTTTCAGTTCA